GGAGGGGAGGGGAGGGGAGGGGAGATAGAGACAGATGCAGGGGAAATGACAAGAAGGAGAGTATACCACAGGGGTACAAATGGAAGATACATACTAGGAAGTATTGCACAATCCCGCCTCACTTCATCATTCACTCTGCGGCCGCTGGGGCGGCTGCTTTTGCATTGGCTGTACCTTTGCCTGCAGGTGCTTTGGAAAATGCTTCCTTTGCTGTCACTCCTGGTCGCTTTGCTGACGCTGCACCGTCCACGCGGGGAGCTGCCACTGCCGGCGCTTTTGCTTGCTCTGGGGCTTTGGGCATAGGGGGCGGCGGTGGTGCAACCAAACCGGGTGGCAGAACCATAGCAGGAGAGGCTTCCGGTTCGGTGGGCCCATGAATCTCTTCTGCTGCCATGGCTGCTGTGACGGCATCGTCATTTGGATCCGAATCCTCAGCCGTGGAATGGAATCAAAAGTTACGCAAGCGGACGCATATGCATGGCCCGCACAACACGACCAAAGTCATCAACATAAGTCGGAGCAAGAAGCGGCACCAGGTGAGTGCGGGACGAGCTGAAGCTGGGAGTCCTAACAGCTAACAGGCTGGCATGCCAATCACACAGGAAATCTCGATGCGCGGCTGAGCGTAAGTGGCACAGGCTTCTGCAGCATTTCCATACAAGACAAGCCACGACAGCAACCTCTGTAGACAGAGCCCCCAGAGAGAGATCTGGCGCCAGAGATCTGTTCGATGGAGGGGGCAGGGTCGGCGCTTGGTGGAAGACGTCTTCGCACCACTCGCAATAGTTGAGGGCACTTGACTGAATGAAGTAGTCACTTGAGCCACGATGCCTCCGGATCTCGTAGTCGAAGTTTTCATTCAGTGGCAGCATGCAACGCCGGCCCACAACCTGGGAACCGCTTTCGGTCTCCAACAGCTTCGCGGTGCCATCCTCCTCGTACATGACAAAGTAGGGGATCGCCGTGACTGACATCTTGCTCCAAGTAGTTGCAGGCGTGGCTGCGCCAAGTGACACGCGGTCATCGTCTACTTCGGATCTTTTGCGCTTCACTGGCGGGGTCGCCTGCTCTGGGATGGAACCAGGAGTTGGGGGTGGCACTGGGGTCGGCTCTACAGGATTTGGAGCTGCGTCGGCCCCTCCATGCAGAGCGCCTGGACCCGGGCCAGGGACACCGGGGTTGGTTGAACCCGATGCTCGCGGATTGGGCATGTTGCCTGGCAGCTGCACGTGATTGGTCACGTAAGAGTTGAGGACACCGTTGCTGAGGTAGGGCTTCAGTGTCCTGACAGCCGCAAATAATTCTACAAAAAGTGCACTGGCTACAACGCATGCTGCATCATTCACATTCTCAAGCAAGTGCAGCCAAAACACTTTCTCTCCCAAAACATTTTTCCAATCCACGGCGGGCTTACGGGGTCCACGAAGACGTGGTCGGTGCCGTTCGAAACACAAGTTCGGCCACCATGCTCGTAAATGTGAATTGTTTTGTCCAAGCAGTCCATGTATGCCAAGTCGCGGCGAACGTCTTCCAAGAGCTGCGTGGCATTCACTTGGCATGCAAAGCAGCTCAAGACCAGAACATGACTGAATGCACGAGTCTAACCACTCGCAACAGCACGGACATCTATACAGGCAGGGCACGCTGCTCTCGAGTAGGCAGATCACCCTGGCCTGCAAGACGAAGGTGCTCGGAGACCAAGTCCCGGATGATCGTGGCAGCTTAGCAATAGACAGGTTCATTCATTCATTGCTCATCGCTCATACGCCCCTGCCCAGCACTATACTACAGCAAATGCACGCCAAGGCTCGATCCGATGACGTGACCCTGTCATCTGGCGCCTGCCCCGTCACCTTGAAGATCAACTCCTGGGCGAAGACGGGACAGAAGATCCCAGAGGACTAATGCTGACGCACGCTGTCGGATTGAGGCCCGCACCACTTTCTCCCGAATGCTCGTACTCTGAAGCACATAACTTGTGAACTGCTGCGGGGCGACGGCAACGAGGACGCCGTCCAAGATGTCCTCGCCGAGCCCTTTGACGACTGTCGCAACTGACACCGCCACCGGTTTGGGTTTTCTACCGGTCGGCACTGCCGGTAGGTCTTCTTTGCGTTTGCTCGCTCTGGGCCCTGTCGCGCCTCTCTTCGGCATCAATGCAGGAGATGTAGCAGGCAGCATCGGTACAGCCCCCACAGCAGACGGATGCGGCACCATTTGCAAAGGAAGGGACGAGGCGGGCATCGAGGGAAACATGGTCGGCGCCGGCGCAGCACCCAAGGAAGCACCGGTCACGGCGGTCACAGACGGAGGCACAGGTGGACCGCTCAACGCTGGCGGGCATGTCCCAGCAGCTGGACCGCTGAATGCTGGGGCTGCAGCGGATGTCCCAGCACCTGGAGGAGGTGGCGCGGAGAAAAACCCACCCGAGAAAGGTGGCGGGGGTCTTCCAGCCATTGCACGCAGAGTAAGGCAAAGGACCCCAGACTTGATCTGCAAAAAGAGCTCCAGGCAAAGAGCATGCCTTACACAGCAACGCAATGCAATCACAACTCCATGGCGGCATTTTGGCTCAGCAGGGCCGTCTCAAGCGTCCTGCAGCCGCGCGCTGGCAAGCGCGCACAAAGCGAAGACACCTACCTGCGGAACGACCTGACTGTTTCCTAAGGCCTGCCGCATGTGCGCATAAGATAGCCCTTGCACAGGCTTGAAAACTTGATAGAGAGGGACACCTGCTGCATCAGCCAATCCCCGGAAAGTAGGGAAACCCATGCCCATGTACAGCTCCTTCAGGAGGCATTGCCGACCCGCGGCGGGACTAAACATGACGCCCCCGCCTCTTCTCAAAGTCGGGCAGGCACCGCTAACAGCCGACCACGTCCTCCATTGATTAGGATTATCGCCCAAGTGGCAGATCAAGTCCTCGTATGAGCATTTTGCTTTCACGGAACAGCTCCAATCGTTTAGATACTTGGAGGCACGCTGAACCTCCGCTTCGTTCAAAATCTGCAAAGGCTGCAAATTCAGAAGCTTTTCTGCAGACAGCCCCTGCAGATGTTGACGCGTGCAGGCCAAGTTGAAGCAATCTTCCCGCACATCTGCTGGGCTTCCACAGAGTAAGCTCCGCAGCCTCGGTTCCGAACAATGTGAGCGAAACAACGCAACGAAGACAGTACCAGACCCTGCCAGATGCACTGTCAAGCGGAAGAATGCAAACCGAGAATCCCCAAGCTAGTGTCCCTGCGCAAGTGGTGTTGAACTTGAGCGAGCAAGCTTCTGACGTCGAAAGTCGAAACGACTCTGTCCCTGCGGTAGCCAGCGAAGAACTTCCTGGAACGGAATACCCACAAATGCGCTTACCAAGACACTTCGTTTACAATGCGTCGCAACATCCCTCAACTCCGTCCTTGTGCGGGACATGAACTCAAACCCGACCATATAGGGCTCCTGCAAGCTCTCAACAAAGTCGTAACCGTCATATGCTGCTTCGGCCAGATGTAAGGGGAAGCCAGGCACGTTCTCGACGATGACCATCGCAGATTTCCCTGCGCTGGCTTTTGCACCGCCCGCCAATATGGCCGGCAAGTGTTGGCCATGCACTCCGGCTCTGTTTCCCATTGCAGAGAAATCCGGACAAGGAGGTCCCTGCACACGCACTTCCGCACGTTGAAAAAATGGGCAGAACCGCCCATGTTTGTAGCAAAAGCCACAATTCACACACGGTAGACTCCGAGCACAAGCGACTTTCTCCTGCAGTGTGGCCCGCAATCGGATAGCTTCGGAAGCTTCTTGCGCATCTCGGAAAACCTGCAACACGTTGCCGAAAACACACGCACTGTCCGGCAGAAAAGTAGACAAAGAGCGTCGCATAGCTTCGTCAGACTCCTCGGCGTGCGCAGGCCATCAGCTGTGCAAGCATATGGTTAAAGGGAAACCGGACTACACAACAGGAACGTGGATGAAAGAGAAAGAACACAAAACAAACCAACACTTTCATTTCAAATGCAAGAAGAGATGGACATAGACTTCAGGACAAGCTTTATAATGACGACTCACCATAAATGTTCCCGAAGACTGATGTTAGGGTTTAGGGTTTAGG